GATTAACATAACATAATAATAAAAAAAATAAAATAAATTTAAAAAGAAAGAAAGAAAGCCAGAAAAAACCCAAGGACAAAGAAAGATAAAAATACAGTTTAGTTTTTAAGACCTGGACATTTTAAACAAAAACATTATTAAATCAAAGTTTCAATCTTTTCCACACATACTATTAGGTAGGCAGACTTGGTGTTTGATATATCACTTGTCCTTATAATTTCCCAAACTTTCATTGTGCTGTCAGAGGCCCCAGCATGAAATGGGTAGCATCAGTGGTAATATTTACTTGAGCAATTTGAGTCCATTAAGCATCAAAAGGATGTACATGTCAGCTAAAAGTACTCAGTGATTCATTTTTAGTTATGCATCGGTGATTTTTTTTTAAATGGGGCTTTTATTTATGATTTTTGTTAAGGCTAAAATTTTAGGATAACATTTGAGGTCTGAGTCCTATCATGAGCATCCAGTCATTCTGTGCTGGAAACATAACCTTTCAATTTTATATAATTCAATTATTTATTTCTAAAGAAAAACTAAAATGGAATCTGTATTTACTGTGTAATAGTAGGCTAAAAAAAAATCTATTGAAGAATGATGGAAAGTTGTGCTGAATTTTTAGTAATAATGTATAATTCCAATAAATGTTCCAATATTATTTCTTAAAATTCAAGAACTAATTGGTGATAGTTACATAAATTGGTGGTAATAATCTGATACAGATTAAAAGTAAAAAGGGATGTTGGAGTCCTAATTAGGTAAAGTTCTTACAAATGTGGCCCATGAGCACATGCAGTCCAAAAGAGAAGTGGGGCAAAAATCACATTACCTTATTAACCAGTACACGGGAACCACTCACAGCTAGATTAGCCAGTCTCCGCTGCCCTTCGGCACATGACAGCGGGTGTCCACTGCTATCATCAAATATTCCATATTGCCTGAGTCTCAACGGATGCCTGCTTGGAGCATCTACTCTATTTGTCCCCTACACCTCTTATTCCTGATAACTCAACCACCATCCCAAAGCAAATGTCCTGTATCCTTTGCCCTTTTAGGATGCTCATTTCTATGTAGTACTGTGTTACCTTGGGAAACTCTCTTTCTCCCACTGCTGATCTCTTCCAAATTCTCTGTACTTTCCTGGCTAATATTTTGACTCCATTGTAAAACAAACAAACAAACACGCTACTTAACTTTTTCATGGAAGAGTACATCTATCTCCTGCTCTTACCCAAAGCTGACTCTGTCCAAGGTTCCTGCTTCCCCCACCACCCTTCCAGTGAAGGCTGTTCAGTCTCCTAGCCCTCACCTGAGAGATGGGAAGCAGAAGGCTGATAAGGGAAGGGCAAGCCTCACTGCTTCTTTACCACTTTCTGATCATTTTTCTTTTTTTTTTTTTTTTTTAAAGATTTTATTTATTTATTTGACAGAGACAGAGACAGCAAGAGCAGGAACACAAGCAGGGGGAGTGGGAGAGGGAGAAGCAGGCTTCCCGCCGAACCGGGAGCCCGATGTGGGACTCGATCCCAGGACCCTGGGATCATGACCTGAGCCGAAGGCAGTTGCTTAACCAACTGAGCCACCCAGGCACCCTGATCATTTTTCTTTTGCCCTCATACTAACACCCTTTGTTTTCACTAGGTGCCTGCTGTCTGCTAAGCCTTCCCAACTTCCTTCTTCATTACTAGTCTTCTCTTTCACTCCTCCACACTGAAGACTGCAGTGGCTCAGTTTTCCTCTCCATACCGAGAAGACCATTATCTTAGTTCTTAGAACAAGAACTGCAGAAACCTGAGTGTCTGTAAAGGAGATAAGATCAAGAAAGGGATGAGGATGTTGAAGATTGTATGAGTGACAGCATGGAACCCTTTCCAGCATCAAGGGGAGAGATGGCTTAGTCCACCAGTATATCTTCTATAAAGCAAGTTATTCCTGGAAATTCATCTTTCATAATATTAGCCTGAAATTATCCCATTTCTCCTGTTCACACCTAATTCTGGTCAGTATTCCTATCAATTTCAGCCCTTCTCCCCATTGTTATCTCTACCAGACCTTTCTTCTCTGACCTTCAGATTCCTCTCCTGACTCCCAAGTATGCCTTAACTGGGACAAGGTCATGATGGACAGATCCACCAGTCAAGACTTCTCTCGTTCTTAAAACCCCAAATTCAGTCTATTGCTCTTAAAGGCAGCTCTCATCTCTTGTATGCCATGTCCACAAACAGAGAGCTAGAGGACTCTGGGACTGTGTGGAGGTTGGGGAAGGCAGATCCAGAGAGGGGCAACCACGGATACCAAGACAAACTGTTGTCCTTCAGAAGTGTGCCTGGAGTTGGCCCTGTTGTCCTATTCTGTTATGAATACATGAAAGCAAATACATCTAACTTCCTATAAATATGGCAACAAAATGCTGTTTCCTATAATTATAAAGATTTCATCATCATCGTCAGAACATAGCTTCATTCCCAGAGTTTATATTTTGGTATATGAATGTTCTCCCAACTAGAGGGTTGGTTCCTCAGCGCCTCTTCATATAGTTAGTGGCTATCAATAAGTTGGGCACTCAAGAATTCTGATATGGATCTTACTTTAACATACTAACAATGAACAAAAACATAACTTTTGCAGATAGACTTATGTAGTTTTACTTTTCAATATCATCAGTTGGTATCAATTACTTTAGCTACTTAAAATCTCCCATAATTCTATATGAATTTCATTCATTCCCTTATGTCTTTTCCTCTGAGAAAAGATGTTCTCCAGCAAGCCCATTTAGATGACTAAATCAACAGACTTCTCAAAGAATAATAAACTTTTAAGTTGAGGATAGTTTTTAAATGTTCTTCAAGCAATAACATTTTTTTTAAAGATTTTTTATTTATTTATTTGAGAGGGAGAGAGAGAGAGCACATGAGGGGGGGGAGGGTCAGAGGGAGAAGCAGACTCCCCGCCGAGCAGGGAGCCCGATGCGGGACTCGATCCCGGGACTCCAGGATCATGACCTGGGCCGAAGGCAGTCGCTTAACCAACTGATCCACCCAGGCGCCCCAAGCAATAACATTTTTTACAGATCCTCAAATTGTCCCTGGTGTAACCCATAATTATTAAGGATAGAAGGATAATGTCTTTAGAAATTAGTCACTTCTGTTTTTTCAGTGAATATGTGGAGCACCCACTATGTACTAATCCATGCACTGGGGATACAAAGTTGAATAATGCCAGTGCTTGACCCCGCCATTGTGGAGCCCCTGCCAGGTAGGAAGGGGCATGTAACCAGAAATCATAATTGGGAAGGTAAGTGTTCAGTGAGAGTACACAAATGAGGAGGAAATGACTGTGCCCATGGAGGCAAACAGGAAAGGAGCAAGAAAGCTTTCCTAAGGAAGTAAAGTTTGGGTCTTGAAGGAGACAACCAGGAGGATGAGGCAGAGAAGAGCATTCCAGGGAGTAGCAGGTGTCAATGTGGTCTCCCTAAATATGGACTTGGGGTTTGGCACTGATTTTCCTTAGTCATACCATATTATACACAACCCATAAAAGAAAAAAAAATTGATTTCATCAAAATTTAACTAAAATTAAAGATATTTTTAGGGAAAAGATAAGTTACCAGGAAAATATTTGCAAATCACCTATCCAATAAAGGATTTATATCCAGAATATCATAGCTCCCTCTGATCTATGGGAGATACGTTCCAAGAACCCCAGTGGATGCTTGAAACAACAGATAGTACCAAACTCTATATATACTATGCTTTTTCCTGTACATACACTCCTTTGATAGAGTTTAATTTATAAATTAGGCACAGTAAGAAATTAACAACAATAATAAAACAGAACAATTTTAACAACATGCTGTAATAAAAGTTATATGAATATGGTCTCTCTCTTTCTCAAAATATCTTACTGTATAGCTCTCACCCTTCTTCCTCCTATGATGTGAGGTGATAAGACACCCATGTGATGAGAAGAAGTGAGGTGAATGACATAAGCAGTGTGATGTAGTGTCAGGCTACTACTGACCTCTTGACAATACATCAGAAGGAGGATCATCTGCTTCCAGACTGCAATTGATCACAGATAAGGAGGAACTACTGTATATAAAGAATTTTCAAAACTCAACAGTAAGAAAACAACTAATCTAATTATATACTGGGCAAAACACTTACACACTTTACCTAAGTGGGTATAATGATGGTTAAAAAGCACATGAAAAAACTTTCAGCCTCATTAGCCACTAGAGAAATGCAAATTACAACCACAATGAGATACCTCTGTATACCTATTAAAATGGCTAGAATAAAAAATTTGCAATAATACCAAGTGCTGAGAAGTTCCAGAACAACTGGAACTCTCCTACCCTGCTAGTGGAATGCAAAATGCCGTAGTCACTCTGGAAAACAGTTTAGCAGTTTCTTACGAAGTTAGAGATACACTACCATAGGACCCAGCAATCCCACTCCTGAGTGTTTACCTTAGAGAAAGAAAAGCTTAGGCACATTCACAAATGAAAAGAAGCTACTCATACTCACCAAAACCTAAATGCCCTTCATTGAGTAAATGGATAAACAGACTATAGTACATCTACATAACATACAACAAATGGGGGGAAAATCTACTGATACATGTAACATCCAGCACAGTAGCCTCTGTGGCGTTCACAATCACTCACAGCATAAAATGCACCGAATACATTATGTTGCCAACTGGCCACTTCGTTCAACCTTTCTGACACACTGTGGCCTCAAAACTGCAGCTGCTGCTGCCTATCTTTGAAACAGGAATCTTCTATGGTTACTGAGGCCGCTCATACAAACACTGACCTGAGACTGTTTACAAATAAACTCTAGCTGGTTGGTCATTTTTCTTTTAATTTAGTTGTGTTTATGTGAGAGAGGTGACTTTTCTTTTCTTTTTTCTTTTTTTTTGTAGGATTGTTGTATATTTCCAGTTGTAACTTGTTTTTTTCTTGACAGATACAGTGCTTTTATGTATTTAACCAGTATGTTCAGTTCTCACCAGCATGTGATAGGGATGAGGGCACCCTTCCTGTGAGCTCTAATGCTTCAGCTCCTGCAACTTGTCCCTGGGAGAGGATCTGTTCGCTGTCTCATCATAAGGCCACCATGCCCATGCCCATTCTCAACCATTCTCGAAACATCTGGAAGGTTTTCTTGTGAAATGACAAATATCCATGGATCAACATTCTTCCAAAGTGGCCTAAACTGCCAATCTCCAGACTGTGTGTATTTGGAGGGAAACCCACCCTTCCTGCAACTTCCTCGCCTGGGTACTAAAGCAATACTTGGCACCTCAGTTTCATGAAGTCCCATAAATACAGTCCTTCCCCTTCTCTCTGCTTCTTGCTTCCCCATATGCAATCCCCAAATGAGAAAACACAGAAAATCCCCCCGATACCTACAAGCTGCTTCTCCATTGGAAAAAAACAAAAAACCAGTAATTGGCAGGCATTTCTCCATTCATCTAAAACCCCAAATAATGTTTCTCTTTTTCTTCTCCTAAAAATAATTTTAATGTTTCTCTCAAAACATTCTTGACTTATATTTGTGTAACTACAGGACACATTCAAATGGTTTTTCTAAGAAACTATGAATTAAAGCCTGCTTTTTAAAGGACAGTCAGGCCTCCTTTACTTCCATTGTTTCCCTATCACAGTTTCAAAAATCTCAAACCCTTAGCTTAACCAGTGCATACCATTACATTTAGAAAAATATAAATTACATTTACAAAAAGTTTTCATGATCTAAAGTCGGTAAGAAGAGAACTAAATTTTCTGTACATATTTAAAGTCTTAATGGAAAATGCCATATCATCATGACTGTTCATTTTGTTTACTAGGAATTGTAGAAATAAATTATTAAAGTATCTTTTACCCATATGCTCACCATATGTGTGTGTGTTCACTAGAAAAAGTTGAGAAGAAATTCTTACCTAATACATGGACTTTATATTTTAAAATACAGATCAAGGGAACACCACAGTTACTTGGTTAAAAAACCTCACAAGTGAGCCATTTTTTTTTTTGCCTTGAATTCTTTTTTTTTTGTAGTTTTTAATTTTATTATATTATGTTAGTCACCATACATCATTAGTTTTTGATGTAGTGATCCACGATCCATTGTTTTCGTAAAACACCCAGTGCTCCAT